ATTTGTTGAATTCCAGTTGATTCTACAGCATTTGTTCCTCATTAGGACACAGTGCAAACACAATTGCCAAGATGATGAGAAACATGATGTGGGTGGGAAATGGACCCTCCTGCCCGGCTCTTCATGGGGACTGGGACAGTCCCCTCATGGAGTACCCTGCTGGCTTGCGAGCACCTTACTGCTCTGAACAGCGACAAACCCAGTGTGCTAATGAAAGTCCTACTTGGAAATAAGGATAAAAGTCTAGCTACTTAAGATGACTGGTTGGGAGGCACACAAACAGGTGAGGAGAAGGAGGAACCAGATTCCTGGACTGGGGAGCAGTGAGAAGCACACAGTGAGGGGCCTCTGTGCCAGACTGAGGGTTTTGTCCTTAATCTTGAAGACTCTGGAGAGCCGAGAAGAGTTGTAAGCTGGTAAGTGACATAGCCAGATGAATTTAGAATATATTTCTAGAGCACTTACATTTTACAAAGTACATCTGTGCACACTTCACCTCATTTAATGTTCTGCAGGGTAGGGATTGTTTTCATCTGGCAAATGAAGACTTAGAGATATTATTAATCAAGGCCAGACAGCTAATAAAGTTGTGGCCAGGACTGAGTGGAACCTGGGTCTCGGTTTCCACCCTGCCCTGTGGGTGTGTTTACTGTAGAGAGACAAACACGGTCCACAGGAGCTGGTAAGGGGAAGTGAAGGCAAAGAACAGAAGAAAAGTTAGTTGTGCACTGAGTAGTTAGTAGATTTTTTTCGAGGCTTACCACTTCTTTTTTTGCTGTTCTTGTTTTTAGATGGTGGAGGAGGGGCAGTAAAGTAGCCTCAGAACTGAGAAGGCATTTTGCGATTGAATAACAAAACAGGCAACTCCTTGCAATTTACATAAGAGTTTTATTCAGGGTAACTTACTGATGGGGACATCAGGTGGATGACAATCCAGACACTGTGCAGGTGTTCTCCACCAAGTCCAGACCGTTATCTACAGATTGTATAGAGCAAGGGAATGTACAGAGGGCATTGTGTTGAAGTCAGGGTGTCCGCATACACCTAAACTGATAATTAGCATTTAACAGACCTCGTGGTACTATCTGTGCATTGTGTGGGGATGGCGGGGGGGTGAGTTATATCATCTCTATTAGTTATCTAAACAACTCTAGGGAAGAACAGAAGAAGTCTTTCCACATTCTAGTCAGGGCATACATTAACCTCCAATGGATCTAGAACATGAAGCCCCAAGGGAGGTCATCACATGGACATGAACAAGACGGAGGGCCAAAGATGGAGTCAGTATTGTCAACACCGTATACTTGTTTCTAAACTAATCATAATGATGTAACCAAGTTACTGCTCTCCAGAGTAGTGATTTCCAACCTGTGGATCAAGACACTTTGGGGGACCCATGATTATTTGGAGGGTCCTCAGTTTCAGTGTGCGTTTTCTTTTTTTCTTTTTCTTTTTTTTAAAGATTTTATTTATTTATTTGACAGAGATCACAAGTAGGCAGAGAGGCAGGCAGAGAGAGAGGGAGGAGGAAGCAGGCTCCCTGCAGAGCAGAGAGCCCGATGTGGGGCTCGATCCCAGGACCCTGGGAACATGACCTGAGCCGAAGGCAGAGGCTTTAACCCACTGAGCCACCCAGGTGCCCCTTGTGTGCGTTTTCTTGATGGAAGCTGAAAATACTACCATCTATTTGATAGGGACTCCAAAGTTTTAAAAAATTTAGTTTACTTGACAAGAGAATTCTTGGAAGGTTGGGAATTGTGTACCACTAAATATTAAATATAAATTACTAGATGCTTTGTGTGTGTTTCTAAGGATTAGATGTGTATCAATAGAGGCTGATGGGGCATAGGGTAACAGTGAAGTTTGGGCTATAAAGATTACTAGGAAGGGGGAAATCTGGTAACTTTGTATTCAGATGCCATACAGTTGTGAATCTGGAGGGACTAGACATGGTGAGATGCACGTGTGGGTAGCAAAAGTCATGCACTTCTTTCTCTGCCCTAGGAAAAGAAGCATTTCAATGACTTTTCCCCACAGGCTGGGGACTGCATTTGATTTTATGTCAGGATTCAGGTGATACCTGAAGCATGTCCCAACTGTATCAGTAACAAAACTGTGTGTGGACAAAACTCCAAGGATTCATGTAGAGTTCAAGTTGGAGAGTAAAAAAAAGACTGTGTGAGCCTAAGCCTGGGGCTGCTGGAGAAACAGGAGAAGGGAAAGAGAGGCTGGTAGCCCTGGGCCCTGGCATATAGGCCAGTTACCTCTGGGAGTCTCATTCCCTCATCTGTAAATGGAAGTGGTGCCTCTTTGGCCCGAATAAACCCATGAATGTAAAGATCGTTGCCAGGGCTCTTTGTAGCAATAAATGCAGGTTCTGTACATACGTGTTTACTCTTTGACCCAATGATTCTCCCAGAAGTTTACCTTGAAGCTCTGTCTCCTCCAGTTAAAACAATACATGCAAAAGTTTATTCACTACACCTGTACGTCATATGTATTCGTTTTCTGTGGCTGCCTGATATATTTCTAGACATTTAGCTGAAAGCAACACCTCTTAATAGCTCATAACTGTGTCCACCAGAAGCCTGACATGGTGGCTGAGTTCTCTGCTCAGGGTATCACAGGGCAAAATCAAGGTGTTTCTTGTGGCGGCAGGACCGAGGATCCCACTTCCTTGCTGGTGTCAGCCGGGGGCCACTCTCAGCTCCTCCAGGCAACCTCCATTTTTTGCCACACACCTCTTTCACCTTCAAACCAATCCATCAAATCCTTCTTGTGATTTGAAGCTCTCATGTTCCTTCTAAGAGCAGCTAGAGAAAACCCTGCTTTTAAAGGGCCTGAGTGATTAGCTCAGCCACCTGGACAATCTCACTATCATGGGATCAGCTGATTTGGGACTTTCTTTACATGCATGCAAAATCCTTTCACTGCCATACCTAGAGGAGTGTTTGATCAATTGGCTGGGAGAAGGTGTGTGTGTACCAGTGGCCAAGAATCCTGGAGCCGGTCTTAGGACCCTGCCCATCACACACAGGAAGCTGAGTACATATGCTGTGTCCATCCACACGACAAAGAACAATGCTGTCATGAGAAGTGATGAGAGAGGCCTCTGTGAGCTACTCTAGCATGATTTCCAGGATACATTATATACTAATACCTGAAAAAAGCAAGGTTAAATAAAGTGTGCTACCTTTCACATAAGGAAGAAGGGGAAATAGGAAAAACAATACATATATTGTGGAAGGCAGTCTTGAAGATAGTCCCCAGTGATCCTTGCCTCTTTTGTATAATCTTATATAATCTTTTCCCTTTGAGTCTGGGCTGGACTTAACAACTGGTTCCAGCAGACAGAATCTAGCAGAAGTGTTCAGTTGGGTTCCAAAGAGATGATTGGCTTCCATCTTGGAGTCGATTTCCCTGACTCTCCCAGCTCTCTCCCTCTCCAGGGCAAAGCATGTTGTGAGTAGTTACATGGAGGGGCCACCATGCAAGAAACAGAATTCCGGCTCTTGCGGGTTGAATTGTGCCCTCCAGAAAGATATGTTGATGTCCTAACCCAACTGGTACCTATGAATATGACCATATTGGAAATAGGATCTTTGCAGAGATAATCAAGGTTTTTTTCCCCCATTAAACAAAAAAAAAGATTTTATTTATTTATTTGACAGAGAAAGACACAGCAAGAGAGGGAACACAGGCAGGGGGAGTGGGAGAGGGAGAAACAGGCTTCCTGCAGACCAGGGCTCTGTCCCAGGACACCGGGATCATGACTTGAGTTGAAGACAGACACTTAACGACTCAGCCACCCAGGTGCCCCTCAGATATAATCAAGTTAAGATGAGGCCATGTTGGCTTAGGGTGGGCTATTCCCACGACTTATGTCAGTATAAGAAGGAAACTGGGAAGGCACCTTGGTGGCTCAGTTGGTTGAGCAACTGCCTTTGACTCAGGTCATAATCCCAGAGTCCTGGGATCGAGTCCCACATTGGGCTCCCAGCTCTGTGGGGAGTCTGCTTCTCCCTCTGACCTTCTTCTACCCTCTCATGCTCTCTCTCTCTCTCTCGAATAAATAAATAAAATCTTAAAAAAAAAAAAAAAGGAAACTGGGACACAGAGACACATACACCGACAGAAGAACATCATGTAAAAGCAGACGCAGAAACTGAAGTTATACAGTTGCAAACCAGGGAATGCCAAGGGTGGCTGGCAATGGCTCAGAGTTAGGAGAGAGACAAGGAAGGACTTTCCTTTGGAGCCTGCAGAGAGAACATGGCCAGGCCTTCATCTCGATTTTGGATTCCTAGCCTTCAGAACTGTGAGAAAGAGAATGGATTCTTGTTTCTCAAAGCCATCTAGTTTCTGGTTTTCTGGTCATTTGTTTTGGCAGCCCCAGGAAACAGATACACTGGCCAGTGGCCAGTGAGGACCTGAGGCCTGCGGCCAGTGAGGACTTGAGGCCTGCCAATAGCCATGTGAGTGAGCTTGAAACAGGATCTCCTGAGGCCTGCCAACAGCCAGGCTGTGCGCACTCGGGAGCAGATTCTCCCCGACTCAAGCCCTGATGTGCCTGGAGCCCCAGGTGCCACCCTGACTGCAATCTTGGGAGGCCTGGTACACTGCCTATGGGAGCCCCTCTGGACTTTTGACCCACCGAAACTGTGAGCTAATATGTGCTTGTTGTTTTAAGCTGGTAAGCTTAGTTATACAGCAATAGATAACTAACAAATACATATAGTTCTATGTATTTTTAACTTGGGGACAGTGGAAGAATATACTAGAAACTGAGGAACAGGGTTATTGCTAGGAGGTGAGTGGGACCAGAGTGTAGGGAATGGGGAGGGAGTTACACCTTTGTAAGATTTTATTTTGAACCATGTGGATGCTTTATACATTCAAAAAATGAAATTGGATAAAAAAAGATGAAAACAAAAATCTAAAATTGATGAAAATGAAAATGACCAACCTGACAATACATCAAAGAAAGAACATAACTATAGCAAAAAGCAATGAATTCAAGTAAACTTTGAACACAGTGCTCTACCTGCACACGATTTAGAAGGATGTATGATCAAGATACGAGGAACTGCCAAGAAATCTTGAGTTTAGAAGATTTGTTGCGGTGGTAGTACTGGTATGTGATTCTCATCTGGTTTCTGTATATTATAGAATAAATGATCAAATACATTGATGCTGTTGTGAACTAGGGTTTTCACTGAGGGAGAAGGAAGATATAAATATGGAAAGAAGAAGACTCTCTGATGTTGGATTTTGACATGGAGGTATGAATTCATGATTTAAAACTATATCTGGGTGAAAGGTATACTGTTTACTGTATTACATCTATATCTCCATAGATATATTTATGCAAATATATATATGCTTTGTCCACTGTAAGGGCCTGGAAGAATGACATCCCAGTGGCAGTGAGCAAAAGAACTCTGATCTAATTTTCTAAGTGCCATTTCCTCCTAAAAGCAGCTAGGGTTTTCCTGGCAAGGACAGAGAAGATTCAATGAAATGTTAGTAGGTCTTGGGTCAGAAAACAACGAAGTGCTCAAAGATTGATAGGGTATTATATAGGTAAGATCAAAGGAACCAGGTGAGGGGGCTTCCACTGATCAAATATCAGCAATTTGAGCACCAAAAGTAATAATAATAGTAATTATAGTAAGTGAATTAAGTTGGATTAAAAAATGCAGGAGTCCACACTGAGTCTACACTGTTACTCAAAAAGGGGAAGGTCAGGAAAGGGAGCTGGGAAGGGAAGAAGGATGAGAAGCAGGGGGAAAAATGAGAAAAGGAGAAAAAAGGGGGTACTCTTCTTTAGATGGGTAGAAGAAAGATAGCATTAGAAAATCACCATTTTGGGGCGCCTGGGTGGCTCAGTGGTTAAAGCCTCTGACTATGGCTCAGGTCATGATCTCAGGGTCCTGGGATCAAGTCCCGCATCCAGCTCTCTGCTCAGCAGGGAGCCTGCCTCCTCCTCCTCTCTCTCTCTGCCTGCCTCTCTGCCTATTTGTGATCTGTCAAATTAAAAAAAAAAAAAATCTTAAAGAAAAAAAAAGAAAATCACCATTTTATAAACAATTCAATAAGCATTCATTGGTGTGTGCTTATACCCCTTGGGCAAAACAATTCATGTGGTTCAGCCTATCGCTACAGACAGTCTCTGCTGCAGTAGGAGAGAGGTTTGGTTGAAATAAAAAAGAAAGGGAGGCCAGGCTTGAAAATTCTCTGAATGGACAAAAAAACCAAACCAAACCAAACCAAAACGAAAAAACTGTTTAATCATACAAAGCTTAATTTGCAAGACTAACTTCACCTGGATAATGTCTTGCTTATGCCTCTGAAAATCCAAAGCAAGGCTTGAGCTCTTTGTTAAGGTTGATATGAGGTAATCACTGACCAGCTCTCTGTTGTTTAAGAAAATTCTAATATTATAACCAGTCGCTGTGAAGAATAGCCACTGCTTTCTGGCTATAGAAGCTGTTTATAACGTAATTCTGAGCCTCCTTCCGTGTTCTGGTTTGAGTGCTCCCAGTTTGCAAACTGTCTTTCTGATGTGTGCACAATAAACTTTTACTGATTACAGGCTTAGTGATTCCTTGGTGTTACCTCTATCATTTTTGAGCTTCTGACAGCATCTTTGTGGAGAGATTGGCCAGCCCATGCCTTAATCAAGTGATCCAACTTGGTGGTACAGATGATGGGACAAAAGAACATGGAAATACACATCACCTCCCACTTCTACTAAAATGTTTAGTCTGAATCTGATCATAAGGGAGCAATTTGAAAGATCCAAAATGATGCAGTCTACAAGACATTTGGCCTGGACTTTTCAAATATGTGGAAGTTACAAAAGATTTTGACAAAGTGAAAGTCCTAGTAGATAAAAGGAGTTTCTAGAGAGGCACGGTGTTAAACGGAACGGGTGAATCTTGGGTAGATCCCGAGTGTGCAATTGTATGACATTTTGGGACAATAAAGGAAATTTAAATATAGACAGTATGTTGAATGATACGACAGAAATGGCATTAAATTTCTTATACATGATAATAGTGAGATGTTTAGGGGTGAGGCAGGGTTGTGTGCGACTTTCCAAAGGTTGGGGGTGGGGCCTACATTGTAAGAGAGGACGCAAATGTGAAATGGTGGTCTTGAGTGAAGGTTATACGCTTCATAGTACTATTTTTGCAACTCTTTTGATTTTTTTTAAATATTTTATTTATTTATTTGAAGACAGAAATTACAAGTAGGCAGAGAGGCAGGCGGAGGGGGGGGAAGCAGGCTCCCCACTGAACAGAGAGTCCCATGCGGGGCTGGATCCCAGGACTCTGGGATCATGACCTGAGACAAAGGCAGAGGCTTTAACCCACTGAGCCACCCACGCGCCCCTATTTTTGCAACTCTTCAGTCGGTCCGTACATTTTCAAATTAAAAAACGGGGATTAAAAAAAATTAGTGAGCTCTCCCTTTCTCCGACTGCTGAGGTTCACATAGGGAACCAGGATCCCAAGAAGCCTCCAGTTCCAAGGCTCCCGGTGCGTTCCCTAAAGTTTCTCTTGCACTGCGGAGTGGAGCCCGGAGGCCGTGGGAGTCACCGAGTTCCCACAGCTCCCCGCCTGGTCAGCTGGGAGTCGGCTACTCAGTGCCCGGTCCCTCCGCGGTCAGCCAGTCGCCGGCTGTCATGGGCGTGGCTGCGGCCGGGAGGCCAATGGGAGCCGCGGCAGAGGGCGGGGCCGCGCGGGTGGAATGGGCGGGGCCGCGCGCGGCTCCGCAGCTTTTTCTCCAGCTCCGGTGCGGCTAGGCTCCGCGCGCGCTTGAGCCGCCGCGGGGTAAGTGTCTGAGCACCGGCCTGTGGTCGCGGTGACCGCTCCGTGCCTGCTCCGGGTAGCCCCTCCACCGGCCCGTCCCTCTTTCGCCGCGGCGTCCTGAACCGGTCGGCGTGGGACTCCCTGCCCGGCCGCGGGCGGTGCTGCCTCTCCGGTCGGCCTCTGCCGGGGCTGGGACTGCGGTCGGATTGCGGCCCGGGAGAGCGCCGACGGGGCCGGGCGTGCTCAGCGTCTAACGCTGCTTCCCGGTTCGCTTGCGGAGCCCGGCTCCCTGGGGCGCGAGGTTCCGGGGCTGGGCCGCGCTCTTCCGGCAGGGGCTCCGGCGGCGGGAGCGCCGGCTGCAGGGCCTCATCACTTGGCGGCGTGGGGTGACTTCGGCTCCCGCGTCACAGGTCCCAACTGTGCGGCCCGGTCCCCACGGTGTGTTTCTCCTGCCTCTGCATCCTTCCCACTCGCGGTTCACTCGGAGTGTGCGGCACCGGTGCCCGACAGCGTCCTACTCTGGGAGAGGGCACATTGGGCTTTGAATTGCTCCTGCAGGTTGGCTCACGTTTGTAGGGACGGGTGCACTTCATTTGCTTGGAAGGTTAATGTAGGTCTGGATCTTAGAGTCTTTCTAAGTGTAAATTCGTGTAAAGCATTTGCGGTGTTCATCATTGCTGCTCCTGTGCCAGAAGAGCAGAACGGTGTTGGGACTGTCCTATAGATTCTAGTTTTCGTCTTCCTGTAGTTGAAAGGCCTGAACGGTGGTCTTGGCTTTGCCGCTGCCAAATTTTGTGATCTTGGGTTCAGTTAATTCGTATGAAATGAGGTATGACTTCTAAGATTCCTTTTAAATTCCACGTTTCATAAGGCTGTGATGAGCTTATTTTCCATACTGTACCTTGAAAGAGAATGGGAAATGAGAGTCTATGAAAGGCAAACATATGAGGAACAAAGATTTAAGAGGGCACAGAAGTTTAGAGACTGATTACAGTTTAAGACTGCAGACTGAAAAGGAAACCCAAGTAAATCTGAAAGAACTTATCCAGAATTAATTATAAAACAGAAACTTGGAAAACTTTCAGAAGTTCCAGAAGCAATTACTGTCGTATATTTTACCTCTTTTTGCAGCTGCGCAAATGAGGTAAGGAGAAAATAAGTACTAAGTAAGAGAGAATATAGGAGAGAGGATATAGTAATTTAGTACATATCTAAAGATTTGGAATCCTTAATTTGTGTAGGCATTTCCACTCAGGAAACACTTTAAAAAATAGGTGGAAAAGTTTGTATGTCCTTTGCAGGAAAATCCTACATTTATTCCGATTGTGCAGAATTTCAGCACTGCCACCCGCTAATATTTTTTTTAACAGCCTTTGGAAAATAACATCTGGCTTTGTAGTACAGAGAGGAGAAAGATCATGTGTTCCTTCAGGGAGACCTTAGTTTGCATACTTGGTAGCTGTGTGACTAGGAAAACTCACTTTTCTGTCTGAGGCTGTCTTTCCTCAATTATGAAATGTGGCTAACGTTCCCTATTTCATAGGGTTGTAAGGATTAAATGAAATTACTTGTGTGGAAAATCTATAGCAATGCCTGGCATGGAAGATACTCAGTAAAGATGGCTGTGATTATTAGCATGGTATTTAAAACGCAGCAGAGAAGTGGTCCCGAGGTTTAGTCAGGCTAAAGGGTATGGCCTAAAGAGGAGTGCAGAGTGGGAAGTGATCACAGGCACTGGTATGCCCGACACTAGAGTTTTTCCAAAATTGTCATCCCTTCCCTGGGTCTCAGGCTGAGATGTCGTCCAGACACTAGTGACTGCTAAGGACAGAAGGCTCCCTGACTGTGCTGGCCTGTCGTGCTTGGGGCTTGAGTAGATTTGGGATTTTCGCAAAGAATTGTGCTAGGAAGTTAAGCATCGTATGTAAGAAAAACCCTTCCAAAGAGCGCTCCAAAACAAAGAAATGGTTCAGTTTACTGAAAAGAGATTTCAGCTTGAGATAGCCACAACCCTGTCTCTGCCTGCGGTGGCCCGCACACAGTACTGGACATAATGTCTCCTATTCCAGCTTTAGCTAGAACCTTCTCTTGTTGGATCAACAACTGATACGCTCTGATTAGCCAAAGTAGTCTTTTTTTTTTTTTTTTTTTTTTAAGAGTCTATTTACTTATTTGTCAGAGAGAGAGAGAACACAAGCAGGGGGAGCAGCAGGCAGAGGGAGAAGCAGGCTCCCTGCTAAGCAAGGAGCCCAATGCGGGACTCGATCCCAAAACCCTGAGATCATGACCTGACCCGAAGGCAGCTGCTTGATTGAGTCACCCAGGCGTCTCTAAAGTATTCTTTCTTTGACACAGCAAACATTAACCTGGGAAGGCAGGCAGTAGGCTTAACTGCCCAGTAATCTAGTCCTAGCATTAGGAAAGCAAAAGAGAAGAGCCCGAAGGTAATTTTTACCCTATTCCTAGCTAACTTTTAAAAATTGTAATTGAATGGAAAGTAAGTGCTGTCTCAGAGTTTAACCTGGGGATGCAGGAATGGACACTCAATTGGGGAAGATGAGTTTATGGCCCAGGTGCATCTGAATGGGAACAGCTGGGTGTGTGCCCCGCCCACTTGATTCAAAACCCTGGAGAGGCACTTCAGCAGTTTTGAATTCTAGTTGAGTATTTGCATTTGAACCCAGAGCCTTTTTTTTTTTAACATTTATTTATTTATTTATTTGACAGAGAGAGAGAGAGAGAGAGAGAGAGAGATCGAGAGATCACAAGTAGACCGAGAGGTAGGCAGGCAGAGAGAGAGAGAGAGGGGGAAGCAGGCTCCCTGCTGAGCAGAGAGCCCGATGCGGGACTCGATCCCAGGAGCCTGAGATCATGACCTGAGCCGAAGGCAGCGGCTTAACCCACTGAGCCACCCAGGCGCCCAGCTTTTGGGTTTTGATCTAACCGAAAAGTTAATATCAAAACTGACAGAAGATGGGGGGTGGTGGGCGGGTTGGGAGGGGCACCTGGGTGGCTTAGTTGGTAAAGCGTCTGGTTCGGGTCAGGTTGTGATCCTGGCTCAGGTCGTGATCCCTGCTCAGGTCCTGGTCCTGGCCCGGTGTCTGCTCAGCAGGGAGCCTGCTTTTTCTCCTCCTCTGCCCTCTTCCCCTCCCCCCCCACCCCAACTCGTGCTTTCTTACTCGCTGTCTTGCTCTTGCTCTCTCTCAAATAAATAAAATGTTGGGGAAAAAAAACTGACGGAAGACAAAGTTGCCGAAAGTAGTCATTAAAACTAAGCTAGTAAAACAAATAAGTAGTGGCAGGAAACCAGAAGGTTGATCCGTGAGATGGCATGAGGCCATATGGCAATAGAGTCTTTAAAAATTTTTTTTGTTTTGCTTCTAAATTCGAGATTAGTTATGATTCCATTTCCTATAAAGTTTTGCTGACAGTTTGCAGGAAACTTTCTACACATAAAAGAGTCACTACTAAATAAGATGAGTAAGGGGGTGCCTGGGTGGCTCAGTCGTTAAGCGTCTGCCTTCCACTCAGGTCATGATCCCAGGGTCCTGGGATCGAGTCCCACATTGAGCTCCCTGCTCAGCAGGAAGCCTGCTTCTCCCTCTCCCACTCCCTCTGCTTGTGTTCCCTCTGTGGCTGTCTCTCTGTCAAATAAGTAAATTAAAATAAATAAATAAAAGAGTAAGGAGAAGGATAAGCTCTAACATCATCACTGAGAATTAACTACGTAAAGTGGGCATTTAAGTGGTAAGTGTTCCAAGGTGCGAATTGGGCACCACGTATTTAACTCACTGATTTTCAGTAACAGCACAGATGCTTTGGATGTCCCCGACATCCTCCTTCCTTCCGTAGGTGGGGCCCTAGGGTCTGTACTTTTCAGAAACTCTGTAGTCAGCTTAGGAACTCCTAATAAGGAGTTCTGTGTGCCACACAGATGCTTACCGCATACACAGTATCACAGACCGAACCGGGGTGTTGGGGGGAGGGGCAGTGGGGATCAACTGGGTAATGGTTTTCTTTCCTGGGGATGAGATTTTGGAACTAGATAGCCCCAGGCGATCACCACCACCACCACCACCAGCATCCTGAATGTGTGACGTGCCTCTGAATTGTTCACCAAAATGGCTTATTTTATAGTGTGAGAATTTCAGCACCGTGAACAACTCCCAAAATTTATTTGAACACTATCTTCGTATACTGTGTATTGGGAAAAAAAAACAACAAAAAACTATTCCTGTTTAGATTGACTGCCTACCTTCTGAATATTATAGTCTCTCTTAAGACTTTTAATTTAAGCACATTTTTGTTTTTGATAAGATGCTCCTTATCAGTACTACCTTTTTGAGGCTGCTTAGCGTTATTTTCTCCTTAATTAAAACACCATCGCTCCTTTATGATTGCATACAGCCTCAAGTTGTAGCAGAAGGAATGCTGTATTTGGAATCAGAACCCTTGGGTTGGAGGCCCAATTCTACACCGTCAGCTGTGTGCCCTTGGGAAGGCACCTTGCTTGAGACTCTGTTTCCTAGTCTGTTTTTCTGTTCTTCCATCCCAAACTTGTTGGGGGATCCACTGATATCGTTTGTATCAGACACTTTTCTAATGGCAAATTATAGTGCTTCCGCGTGTCACTGTTATGTAGTTACTGCTTTGTTTTCCTTAATTTGAATTCAGCAGAATCCTAGAATGGATTAAGAATGGTACTAGTGTGCTGTTAATGAGTTATTGAATTTATTATTAACGTGTTCTGACAGTGTATATAGCTTAGAGTATTAATCATTATATTATTAATATCATTAGGTTAAGAATTAGTTATGTACAGATATTATTAAATGTATGTAAGGATGATAGGGAGCTGAGATGAGTTTTTGTGGGCAGGACTTGTTCTTGGTCCTGAAACATAAAGCAAATGATGATTTTTCAGGTTCCATGCTTATAGAGCCCTTTATCTTACTCACTTTTTTTTTTTTTTTTTTTTAAGATTTTACTTATTTAACAGAGAGGGACTGCAGGAGAGGGAACACAAGCAGGGGGAGTGGGAGTGGGAGAAGCAGGCTTCCCTTCTGACAATCCGAGAGCTCGATGTGGGACTTGATCCCAGAACCCTGGGATCATGCATGACCTGAGCCCAAGGCAGATGCTTAAGGACTGAGCCACCCAGGCGCCCCTATCTTACTCACTTGTAACCAGTCTGAATTCGGTTAATGTCTGTAAATGTAGATGTATTTAGAGTCTCCTGTGGGTTCCTTGTGCTTTTTCTTAGTTTAAGCAAGCCCCTGGGCCTTGTTGCAAACTGCCATTTTTGGCAATAATGACTTGTGGCAGGCCTTTCTTGAGAAATGTAGTCTTAGGAAACTTGTAAAACATGCAGAGTAAAAACCCTGGGCGTATCGCTCACCAATACTGACTATAATAAATTAGGAATTTTATTTCAAACCACAATAATTATGGCTGATGGTATACATGCAAATATGTGTTAATTTGCATGTTTCTCCTGTTATTGGCAGAGGCCAGATTTACCAACTGAAAGTGCATAAAACTGCAGAATGTGTAATGAATGTGTGGGACTGGGCATGGCAGGTGTGTAAATATGTGTCACAGCGTGTGAGCACCTTTTAAGGGAAAGGAAGATGGAAGGCGACAATTGTTGACTATTTTTTGTGCTAGTTTGAAGGTGTATATTTATTCCCCACTATGGGAGTATAAGCTAGGCATATAAGCGTAGCCAATAAAAGTATGGGCCCCACCCCTAATTGGTTGTGTTCGCTGCTTGGAAGTTGATGACATTGTTGAGGAAAAACCCTAGAGGTTAATAGGAACTTCCCTAGGAAGGATGATGTGTGACTCTGACCCCAGAGTCCACCCCTTTCCTTCAAACCAAGACACCTCCCAGCTCTTAACGTGATATGGATAAGAAAAGAAAACTAACATTTATGGAGTGTGAATTAGAAGTTTACTGTGGTACTTTGGAGTAATTGTCATTTTATCTTGGGACACTGGGTTGCAACATTTTTTTGCTCTAGTGGACCTAAGGGACTAAGACAGTGGCGACAAATGGCAAATAGTTGTTGAGTGAAAATGAGTGGATTTTAGATAAAATGGAATACCCAGAAAATAGCCTCCCACGTGTTCCACTAAATACATTCACTGTATCATGGGAACAGCACATTGCATTACTTAAGGCCTGAATGCGATTTAAGGCAACTGATAAAATGAGATTTGTAGGTAGCTGAGCTTCGCTTTCTGAAGGCGAGGCTGCCCTGAGCTACTGGGGTGGGGGTGGGGATGGGGGTGTGTGGTTCACATACAGCATCTGACTGCAATCTCCAGATGGAACACAGGTTTAAAGAAGAAACTGCTTGTGCGTGGAGTTATGACTTTGACATGCCTTTTGTGTCCAGGGAAGACCCTATCGAAGGCTATGTTTCTCTGATCCAGGAGAAGGGACGGTGGTGAAGATGTCGGCCCTCAGCTGGAAGCCCTTTGTGTACGGAGGGCTGGCCTCCATTACTGCGGAATGCGGTAAGGAACCCCCCGGGGTGGGGGAGCTCCTCAGGTCCCTTGCTTGCTGCTCTGTGTGGTGTTTGATGGGACCGTAGTTCCAGCACAGCATGTGAGAGTATAAAACATTAATCTCCGATTTCAAAATTGCCTTCTTTTGGTATGTTTTTCCGACACATGGTCATCTGGCTGCCAGGAGTTTAGAGTTCGGAGTTCAGTGTGGAGAAAGTGGAACTTGTTAATCAAACAGCAGGTCTTATCAGTCATTTGTGGATTACATCTGTCTGGATGTGCCTCGTCCTTCCCCACTGTGTCCCCGTGAGTGCCTGGGGCTAGCGACTGTGCTACGCACCCCTGGTCTTCCCCGAGCCCATTAGCCACACTGTGTCTGGGACTTCCTCCTCCGCTGAGCTCCACGTCACATCCTGGTTAGTGCTGTCAGTGTCCTGGCGTAATTCAATCAGCATATCCTGAGCCATTCCTGAGTGCCAGGTGCTGGGCTGGACACGTGGTTGGCTCCCAAGGCTTGGTCGCTGCTGTCCTGGGACAGGGGCTGCCCCTGAGGGGCCTGTGAGGACCAGGGCTGGGGGGTGAAGGCGTTTGAACCACCCACCCACTTGGCTGCCTGTGTGGGCGGGCTCTCCCATGGCCACGGTGGGTCACCTTTGCTGAGAACGAGTGTTACATGTTTCCGTGGACTCTCCGTGGGGCACTGGGTTAAACTTTTTTTTTTAAGATTTTATTTATTTATTTGACAAATGGAGATCACAACAAGGCAGAGAGGCAGGCAGAGAGAGAGGGGGAAGCAGGCTCCCTGCTGAGCAGAGAGCCCAATGCAGGGCTCGAGCCCAGGACCCTGAGATCATGAAGGCAGAGGCTTAACCCACTGAGCCACCCAGGCGCCTCTGGGTTAAACATTTTTACCTGCGTGAAACAGATTGGCTTTTACACTACAGAACACAAAGTGAGACGTTCCTTTAGAAAGGAACTTCTCTCTCTTCATTCATATTGAACCCGATTTTAGCTTTCGGAGATGCAAAAAAATAGTAACATATTTTAAAATTTCCTGCTCGTGTAAATCATTCCACGTACCTACCTTTCACAGCAGTGCAGCTTCTCAAATCCTATGTCGAATAATACGGAAACTACATAAAAATGTAAAGAAAGGAAGATATGTTTATGAATCTTTGGGGTCTTTTTAATCTTTTGGTTCCTAGTTTTTTTCCCAAATAGAGAAAAGATTGCAAAGTATTTGCTATTTCTTAATTCTGTTTCTTTGTTTATGTTATAGTCGAAATGTTTCCTCAGTAATAGGTCACCATGTATCCTTTATTTAGTGGAATTTCTTTTTATTGAGTGAAATATTTCTTTTTTAAAAAAATTTTAAGGTACTTTTCCAATTGACTTAACCAAGACCCGGCTCCAGATTCAAGGCCAGACGAATGATGCAAACTTCAAAGAAATCAGGTATCGAGGAATGTTGCACGCGTTAGTGCGGATAGGCAAAGAAGAAGGTCTGAAAGCTCTGTACTCAGGGTAAGTAGACTTCTGTACGTTTATATTTGACTATTGATCTTCCAAATGAAATAGACTGAAAAGTAAGATGTCATAGAGAAAAAAGAGAAATTTGAGGTGTATTTGAAAAGAGCAAGTAGTTTGGGAGATTTTTCATGTTTCATTTCAATTTTATTTTCTGTGTATCTCTTAAGTAGTGAACGTTGTGGTGAAAGTATGTTTTTATTATTTTCAAATACAGATACTAATGCAAAAATTACATTTGTTTCAAAAAAAATTCCATAATTCAGTGTTTCACTCTGAGAAAAGCCCTTCCCCTTGGCTATTCTGAATTACCGAGGTTTTTGCTCTAAGGAAAATGATGGCGTGTTCTCTGTGGGCAAGGGTTGTGAACAACGTTTCTTTAGTCCAACATTTAGGGAACAGTGTGCTGAAGGCGTGGGATAGGAAAGTGAGTAAGACAGGTGCCTATGTCAGCCCGAGTTCTGGAGAAAACAGAATTCATTTGGCTGGTTTCAGTGAGGAGACTTTAATGGAGGGGCTACTTGAGGGTTAAGGGAACAAAAAGGAAGAATATTGAAGTACCTAGAAACGATCAAAGTGAGAAGTTGTTACCAACCCTAGGACCAAAAGGACAAGGACAGGAATGGTGTTAGCAGAGCCTGTTAGGACGAGAGCCTTGAAGGAGCAAACAGTAGTTGTGGGGGGATGGTGCTTCGGTAGCGCCCAGGGAGAGGAGAATCCCTCTTCTTCCTGCTCCCTCCATCCCATTGTCTGCTGGTGGAATCCACCTGGAAGTCAGTCGGGAGAGCCTGAATGACTCATCCGTGAGCACCTCCCTCTCAGGGTGCAGAGCATCACTGAGAAGGCTGAGACTGGATCTGGGAGCGCAGAAGGAGATCAGCAGCAACACACAGTCGCGAAGGACCTTTGTTTAGTTGGGGCTGCAGATGTGTGAAGAGGCGGTATGATGGAGTCTGATAATGAGTACTAGGGTCTGGTAGAGGCAGGCCGTCAAGCCCAGACTACGAGGACAGGTGAGAGTGTATTTCGGGAAGGCTGCTTGATCCAGGTAGTGCCCAGTGTGAGCTTGAAGGATCAAGAAGAGTGAGTTAGCCAGGTGAAGTTAGAAGGGAACTGTGTTTCTACAGAGCCGGTAGAATGTGCAAGAAAGCTTGGTACATTCTAGGAACTGCAAGTAAGGCGGGGTGGGTATGGTGTGGGAGGTGGTGAGCAGAAAAAGCTGGAGCCATAGTAAAGGGTCAGGGTGTGGACAGCCTTGGGATGGGCTAGGCATCCTGATTTCATCTGGTCCACCAGAGGGCACAAATCCCTTCCCTGGTCCAGGAAATAGAGAGGAGAGCTGATCAGTTGGAGTGGAAGAACACTGAATCCACTGTGGGATTCTGGATCTGGAGACGGGCTGGGGGTAGGATGTGCACTGAGAAATCTGCGAAGTGGTTGGAAATGCATGGTTGGATCAGTGTTGGCAGCAGGAATTAGGCGTCCTGAGTCTGTATGGTGCTGGAAACGTGGGAGTAGATGAGATCACCCGGGGAGTGTGTGGAGTGGGGAGAGAAGAAAGCACAAGGTGGAATTCTGGGGACCCCCCAGAAGACAGAAGTAGGAGGCAGTGGAGAAAAGGAAATAAACGAGGAGGGGACGTTGTGGAGTTCAGGGAGGAGACAGCTGCACGGAGGGCAGGGTGGACAGTAGCAGATACCACAGAGAGGTCATGTAAGGTACTGAGTGGAACACCTGATTAATTTAGTGACAGAGATGTCAGCTGGTCACCTTGGTGAGGGCAGTTTTGATGGAGAGCGGAGAGGGAAGGGGGACTGTATTTGGAGGAGGAGCTGGGAAATTCAGGGATAGCTGGGGTGGACAACTGCCCCTGGGTGGTTCTGGGGTCCAGAAGGCTAAGAGAGGGAAAGGACTAGAACAGGGCCTCCAATGAGGTGGGAGAGGCGCTCCAGAGAAGCATTGAAGAATGCTGGCTGCTTGCAGAGGGTGGGTTTCACCAGGAGGTTGGTCCCGAGAGAGGGGAGAGAGCCATTTCCCTTGAACACCTGTGAACAAACAGAACTCCACGGTCACTTAACCTTTTCAGGAAGGATAACTACAAGGGGTTGAGCTTTCACTTAGTGAACTAATAATTTGCACAAATTTAACTGAACACAACTATATTTTTGTTGGATTTTGAATTGTGAGAAACCTGGTTTAGTGTAGTTTGATTGTAGAAGGCAAACACATGGTTGCATCTGTGTGTGTGCGTGTGTGTGTGTGTCTTCTAGAGGATTTAAAGTGATTTTTAGGATCTCTTTGTCCTTTTGTATGTTGGTTTGACAGGATTGCCCCTGCGATGTTACGCCAGGCTTCCTATGGCACTATCAAGATAGGCACTTACCAGAGCTTGAAGCGACTGTTTGTGGAACACCAAGAAGGTGAGTGGGGAGTCTTTTTTCCACTTGTGGATAGGAGTTAGGTGGGTTGTGTGTCTTTAGTCAAGGTGAGATCAGATTTTCTTGAGCCTAATTGTGACTCTACTACTGCTGAGGAAAACTCTGGGTGGAAAGTCTGAATGAACAGTGCTTAAAGCCAGTCTGTTCTTACCTGAACTTAGGGGAGTGATGGTTAAAAAAGGAGCAATCTTGGGGCGCCTGGGTGGCTCAGTGGGTTAAAGCCTCTGCCTTCGGCTCAGGTCATGATCCCAGGGTCCTGGGATCGAGCCCTGCATCGGGCTCTCTGCTCTGCAGGGAGCCTGCTTCCTCCTCTCTCTGCCTGCCTCTCTGCCTACTTGTGATCTCTGTCTGCCAAATAAATAAATAAAATCTTTAAAAAAAAAAAAAAAGCAATCTTAACAAATTTTTAGTTGTCCTCATCTCCAAGACACCCAGACTAGAGGGTATGTTGTTGTAGTTAAAAATTTCCAAAATCAGGAATTATTGCCGATTTTTCAGGAAAGCAGTGAATACCCTCCTTAGTATCATGGACTGAATTCTAATACTCTATTGCTTGTTGACTCTGTGACTTTGCTTTAATCCATAGAACTTTTTCTGTTTTTTTTTTTTTTTTAACAACTTTATCTTCTGGGTACCTTCTAGGAGTGTTTTTTTTTTTTTTAAGATTTATTTATTTATTTGAGAGAGAGAGTGTGTGTTCACATGCCCTAGTTGGGGAAGGGGCAGAGGGACAGGGAGAATCTCAAGCCGACTTTGATCAGCTGAGCATGGAGCCTGACTTGGGGTTCGATCCAGGACCTTTAGATCATAACCTGAGCCGAAATCAAGAGTTGGATGCTTAACCAGCTGAACCACCTAGGGGCCCCAGGAATGTATCTTTTTTATTCTCCTATGAGATATATCTCATCTTAATTACTAGAGTGGTCTGCATTTAACACAAGAGTGTATTGGTATATGGTTGTCCACTTTGCATGAGAATTCACATTCCTTTTTTGGTATCAAGTCATTTTACTAGGCAAAATCCCATTAAGCCAGCAAAATTCCTAATACTTTAAAAATTGCTCGATTCAGGGGCTACTGGCTGGCTCAGTCACTGGAACATGTGACTCTTGATCTTAGGGTCATAAGTTCAAGACCCACACTGGGTATAGAGATTCTTTAAAAAAAATTAATCTTTAAAAAATTTGCTTTATTTATAAAGCAGAAATATTACTGTTCTCTGAAGATGTACAAGCAGTATGTAAACGAGTTACACCTATATCTGAGCGACTGATACGAAGAGCTCTGTGTATATGAAAAGCTGAATAATATGTGCTTGTTTATAGATGAAACTCTACTGATAAATGTGGTGTGTGGAATTCTCTCTGGAGTCATATCCTCAACTATCGCTAATCCAACTGATGTTTTGAAAGTAAGCAGTGCGATCCATTATCTTTTTTTTTTTTTTTAAGATTTTATTTATTTATTTGACAGAGATCACAAGTAGGCAGAGAGGCAGGCAGAGAGAGAGAGGAGAAAACAGCTCTCTCCTGAGCAGAGAGCCTGTTGCTGGACTCGATCCCAGAACCCTGGGATCATGACCTGAACTGAAGACGGAGGCTTTAACCCACTGAGCCACCCAGGCGCCCCGCAATCCATATCTTACGGGCATACTCCATGTTTTCTTATTGACAACAGCGTTCAGATAATGAAAAGCTGTGAATATAACATAATGTTTGTGTGAACTTGTTTATAATTTAAATGCCATGAAGACTGTAACTTCGAAACCTCAACTGGGTGGATTTCCCACTGATACGGAAGGAACTCAAAAGTAGAGCTCATGGAGACGAGGTTTTTGGTGATTAAGCAGAGAAAGAATTTGGGCTTGGATATATTTGAATTTCATTTTTCACTGAAAATCTTCCAGGTTTTATTGGTTCATTAAAAATGGATGGGCTGTAGGTTCTACACAAGTTGGCTCACTGATGACCATTTCTTTTTTTTTTTTTTTTTAAACATTTTTATTTATTTGAGAGAGAGTGAGAGGAAGAGAGATCACAGAGGCAGAGGGAGAAGCAGGCTCCCTGCTGAGCAGAGAGCCCAATGTGGGGCTCGATCCCAGGACCCTGAGATCATGACCCGAGCCGAAGGCAGAGGCTTAACCCACTGAGCTACCCAGGCGCCCTGATGACCATTTCTGAATGTGTGATGTTATCCGTTAACTTGATTTCAGGAAATACGAATGGAAGTATTTCCTTATGGCAGTTAAACATTATGTATTGGATGACCTTGTTACCAACACCAGGGTACAGCCTCCTTAAATTCTTTCTGGAATAAGACAAGGGAATAAACTAGTTAAACAAAATAGAAATTAGTCAGGACTTCCTTTTTCTTTTCTTTGTTGGTTTTTTTTTTTTTTTTTTTTTTTAGGATTTTTATTTATTTGAGAGAAAGAGAGCATGAGCAGTGGGGAGAGGGAAAGGAAGGTTCCCCGCTGAGCAGAGAGCCTGATGCAGGGCTTGATCCCAGGACCCTGGGATCATGACCTGAGCCCAAGGCTGATGCTTAACCTGACCCACCTAGGTGCCCCAGGACTTACTTTGTCAGTGCTCTCAGGATGTTTGTTTTTGTCCCTCTCTCTCCTTTTTTGTTCCTATTAGCTAACCAGTGTTCACTGCTTCTGCCTTCTACTAGTTGACATACTACGTGCTTAGAATCCAAAATCGAATAAGATAAGGACCCTGCCCTCAGAGCCTTCACTCTAATTAGAGATTCTGATAGACATAGAGTTTTGTGCAGCAGTATGTAGAGTACAGCATGTGTGAAGGTGCTTTTGCTGGGAGAAAGTGGAGAGAAATATCTGTACGTCCCTTAATCTCTCAAACATACGTATGGGCTTATAGAAAGGCAGTTCCTGTATTTTGGTTTATTTTCCCATGTTAACATGGCAGTAACACTTTCCTTTAGAAGTTAGAGATAATTGCTCCCTAAACAAAAATAAGGAACAAGTTTTTAGTGGGAAATCCCTCTTAATTTTAAAAAAGTTTAGAGAGCTACATCAAACATTATTTTTTTTTAAAGATTATTTTTATTTATTTATTTGACAAGCAGAGATCACAAGTAGGCAGAGAGGCAGGCAGAGAGAGAGAGGGGGAAGCCCGATGTGGGGCTCGATCCCAGGACCCTGGGATCATGACCTGAGCCGAAGGCAGAGGCTTTAACCCACTGAGTCACCCAGGTGCCCCTCAAACATTATTTTTATGTTGGAATCTTGTTCATACAAATTCTGTAGCTGTTGTCAAGGTTATTTGTACGTTCAAGTGTAACCGAGTGTGACGGGCGTCATGTGTCATCTCGTGCTCAGCTCGCTTGCATACCTTTTGGTTCAGCTGGTTGGAAATAGTAGAGGCTTGAAGTAACTGATTTAAGAAATACCCTTGCCAGTGCTTAGTGTTACCAAGTATGCTGGATACTCTTACCAGTTACATGAAATCTTAGCATACCGTCACATTCGCTTTCCTGTTCAGTAACTTATAAGAAAATATGTCATTTTTTTTTTTCCTTTTCAAAAGACTACTTTCAAAAATCCATTTTTTGGGACACTTAATGAGCTCTGGACTCCACTCGATGCATTTTGTTGATTCCAGAGTGTCTCAGAACCAATCCTTATGAATGTTAAATCCTCATAATTATAAATCCTTATAAATCCTACCGGGGCATTTTAAACTAGCATTACAGTCCTATGTATACTGCAGTTCTTTTAATGGTTAGTAAACAACAGATTGAGTGGTTTTGAGAAGTCTACATTTGGAGAGAAATGTGCTTTCCTTCTCATGTTCGTCTTGAATCTCCAGATTCGGATGCAGGCACAGAGCAGCACGATTCAAGGCGGAATGATAGGCAACTTCATTAACATTTACCAGCAAGAGGGAGCAAGGGGCCTATGGAAGGTAAGTCCGTGAAACAGAGCCATCTTCCTTACTTAGTTCTTCCCTGTTTTCCTTCTTTGAATTTATTTTTCCTATTTCCATCCTCTTCTTTAATCCGAATGGCAAAATGGCATATAGGAAGAAGAGTGACATCTGCCCTCAAAATTACTTTCTTCCTTAATTTTATTGTCTGTAGAATGGGAATTACAAGGTATATGTCATAGTTTTAAAGTACCTTTTGAATAATTCATGGATAAGAAATTCTGTGAAGATGGAGCATTTTTTTGTTTGTTTACTTAAAAAAAAATTCTTATAGAGAAGGGTTTTCTAGGTTATAGTTACGATGGATTTTTTGATCTGTGTGATTTCTTGGTCCTTAAGTGAAGACTGTGAATAGGCAAGTGCTGGTACGGGCTGCTGCTCCCTGGTATTCTAGTGACCTGTCAGTTCACAGAGTAGACCCTAAAGGTCATCCAGTAGGGTCCTCGGTATGGTTAGTAGTATGGTTAGTGCCAGAATCAGAACCGGGCGTGGGACTTCTGACTTTACTGTCTAGACTTTTCTGCTCTGTCACTGTGTAGTTTTTTCCCAAGGCTGGTTCCACGGGGAGCTGTCTAAATCTTGGTTGTTCATATTTTTATGCAGGGCGTGTCCCTTACGGCCCAGAGGGCTGCCATCGTTGTTGGCGTGGAGCTGCCGGTCTATGACCTCACCAAGAAGCATCTGATTCTCTCGGGCCTCATGGGAGACACTGTGTATACCCACTTCCTGTATGTTTAGAGATTTTTTTTTTTTTAAGACTTTGTTTATTTATTTGACAGACAAAGATCACAAGTAGGCAGAGAAGCAGGCAGAGAGAGAGGAGGAAGCAGGCTCCCTGCTGAGCAGAGAGGCCGATGCGGGGCTCAAACCCAGGACCCTGGGATCATGACCTGAGCCGAAGGCAGAGGCTTTAACCCACTGAGCCACCCAGGTGCCCTGACCTTGTTCATTTTAGAGCTGAAGATTATGCCCTTCACCAGCCTCTCCCTATTTCCTCCATCCCTCGCCCCTTGCAACACTTTGCTACTCTGTTTCTAGGGTTCTATGTTCTTTGTTTGTTTGTAGATTCTACGTATAAGTGGTACCATGCAGTATTTGCTGTTCTCCCTTTTTAAAATTTAATAATGTGCTCTAATTATCTTTCCATATACGTACAGATAGACTTCATGAATTTATAATAGCTGCAGATTAGTATGGATGTATCGTGGTTTCATCCACTGAGGGCTGATTTTGCCCCTCGAGGGACCTTTGGCCATTTCTGGAGACTGTTCAGATGGTTAGGATTAGGGAATACTGTTGGCATCTGCTTCGCGGAGGCCACGGAGCTGGTCAGCAGCTTACAGTGCACAGGACAGATCCCCCCCAACACAGACTTGCCTGATCCCCAAAATGTTAGGTGTGTGGAAGTTGAGACACCCTGCCCTGAGTTGATTGATACCAAGTATGGTCTTAGTCTTGTGAGACGGAAAGTTTCATAGACCCGGAGACCCCTTGGGGGTGGGGTGGGGAGGCATTACAATGAGAACTTTTTCTCTGCTCTCCCAGAACGGTATGGTTATGATAGGGCTAAAATTACTTTGATGCAAACAGATGTGATAAATCATCATTGGAGGACATTCCTTCATGTTTCTATGATACTTTGACATTCCGGAACCTCAAAGGTATTCTTAGTTGGGGCCAGAATTTAGAAGCCACTATAGTCAGTGCCATATTTAAGAAGTTGATGCAGCGCTCTAGTGATAGGCCTCCTCCTGGGGACCTTGCCTCCTGTTACATGTCACTTTGGCGACGTTGGGGAGGAGGCTGTTTCCTGCCTCTGCTAGTGATGGTTGCGGCTCAGTGGTGGTGAACTGTTTGTTTTTCCATTGGTATCTTTTTTCACAGCTCAAGTTTCACCTGTGGTCTGGCTGGGGCCCTGGCCTCCAACCCCGTGGATGTTGTGAGAACACGTATGATGAATCAGAGAGTCCTTCGGGATGGCGCGTGCTCTGGCTACACAGGTACCCTGGACTGCTTGTTACAGGTGAGAGTGGATGTGCCCCTGGGCAGGGTCATGTGGTCCTTGCATGGCTTATTAGCTTCCTTGCTCCCCTCTGAAGAGTTTTCTTATCACCATGAAAAAAACAAGGGTTAGAGCAAGACAAACCTGTGGGTTGGTCACTTGTGACTGTCTGACTTTGGTGGAGGTTCAGACTCTACCTCAGTTTCCTCATAAGTGAAATGGGACAATAATAGCACATGTGTCATAGAGTTCTTGTAAAAATCATTGAGATGATGCCTACAAAATAGGACAGTGCCTGGATTCATGCATAGTAAGCCTTGTTAGCATAATTAATAATAATAAGGGACACTTATGAAATAAGCTAATCTATTTTACTTACTCTTCACTATTCTAGTGGTTTGTTTCGCTCATCGGAACTGCCCCCCAAATGTGTGTGTGTGTGTGTGTGTGTGTGAATATAGACCTACGTATTCACACACACACATATTTGTATACATGTGTTTAATTGAAGAAGTGACTAAATTTTGAGGGTGTTATAACTAACATGAATGATGCTCCAAAGCCCTGAGAAAGTGCCCAGTTTAGGCCACAATGGGGCTAATTTTATAAATACAAAATCTCGATGAATCTTTAGAAATGAAAGTTCATTTCCTTTATACCGCTGCTCTGCTGTAAAGGGAGAGAAAATAGTCAGATTTTCTGCCATCACAGTAGGACTGTGTCTCCTTCCAAAGTGTATCTCCCTCCTCTCGAGTCCTGCTGGAATGAATATCCCGCATTCAGACATCTCTCAAAAGAACACGTCGCTCTTACTGTACTTTTCAGTGTGAACAGTGGGGCCTCCTGTTCACGAGAGGATGCAGGTTCGCAGCTAGATTGCCAGCAGCCCAGCATCCGGGCCTGCTTTGCTGTTCCTTTTCTCTGGCGTGACGCGGGCACAGCCTAGGCTTCGAGTGCTGCTGCAGCAGAGCAGAGATGCATGTCTTTATCCACCTAGAGACGTGAAGTAGCGGTGCTCTGAATTAGGTCTTTACCGCCATCGTTTCGCTTCTTTCTTTCCCACCTGCTCGTGAGCCCACGTGGCCAGGGGGCAGGAGACTCCAGCTGGGCCTCAGTCTCCCTTCTTCCTCCTCCAGCTGCTCTCTGCCTGCTGGGGTGTGGGCGCGTTTGACACAGAGCCTTCGTCTTCTCCGACGCAGAAGCCTTTAAAGAACAAAAAGGGGCAGAGGGCAGTGAGGTTTTAAACAGTCTTTTCGAATATTTTTAAGAAAAATAGATCATTTGGTCTGGCTCCTAATGAATTAATTATTAACACATTAGACCTAATTGGAAAGTTGGAAGTTAACTTGTTTTTCTCCCCCCTCCTTGTAACAGACATGGAAGAATGAAGGGTTTTTTGCTCTGTATAAAGGATTTTGGCCAAATTGGTTGAGACTTGGTCCTTGGAATATCATTGTATCCTTTTCTGTCACAGTACATCTGAAGAAAGATGGAGCTCGAAGAAGATTGTATAAACTATCGTGTCATTCATGATAATTTAGAAGTGGCTTCTTTTGAGTTCCTCTGATTCTGAGAGCTAATGATTCAGTTTTTATCTCAGCAGGTATAAAATCTCTGGGCTGGGCTATATGAATCTTGATTTAGTGCTAGTATTATTGAAAGGGAATGACATCAATACAGATTTCTATTCAGACTGTTTTAGAAGCTGAGAATACTAACGAGTACAAGGAAGACAGGGATTGATTTGATATCCCAAGCCACCCTGGGGAAGGATGTGATTTGACAGCGGTGTTCTAGAATGCTTATTTTAGAGAGTGCCTGAGGATAAACAGGAATTAGCTCCTGAGTTATTGGGCCAATTAGCACTGTTTCCTGTATGCCAAGTGGGAGGCAGGTTCATCAGACAGGGAAGGGCAGAATTACAAAGAAGGGAATGTGGTTTTCACCATCCCATTTCTCTTTATCTGTGCCTCCCCCCTGCTGAAGGCCTGCCTCACTGTGACCCTTGAGGAGAGCTTCCCAGGGCTTGCTGTCTCTGTTCCACACAGAATTTACTGTCCTAGAAAGTCTGCCCACCTCAGCGGTTGCCAGAGCTAGCCAGGGGGGATGTCATGTACAAAGGGGCTCTGGGAGCTGGTGCTAAGGGATTTGGATATCTCCGCTGTGGTGGTTCTGTTCCAGGCTGACCTTGGGGAGGCCAGTGGGACGACCTTATGGGATAGATAAGGGTGGAGTCCCTCATGTTCAATCCTGTCCATGGCACATGGTTTGCCCAGGCGTATCTGTTAAAGGTGCTGTCTGTGAGCCTGTTTTTAGGGATCCGGGTTGTTAAGATGGCGTCTCTTCTGTCAGCCTTAACCAGTAACCGCAGTTCTTTGTGACCTATGAGCAGTTGAAGAAATTGGACTTGTGACAAATCAAGGCTTCATGAGACAGCGCTCTGAAAACACTCCCTTTAGAAACAATAAAGCTTCCTGTGTGTCACGCTGCTTCTCACTGCTTGGTTCACCACAGATTCTGAAGCGTGAGCAACAGATGAAGATGGGGTTAGTTCAGATTGCTGTGTGTTGGCAGTGGACGCTGCGCATCGACTGTTTCATGCTAGAAACTAACATCCAAACACGAATCCTTACCATGCAAGTGCCCTTCAACATCAAAGACCGCATGTGGAACATACGTTTCTTGATAAAGAGAACTTGCGAGAAGATCAGGAACTGTGTGTCGTTTTCTTCAGGGGAGAGCTGAGAATGCCAGGCTGCTCTAGAGAAGCTCATCAGAACCATGGAATAGAGCCTCCGAGAGGGTGTTGTTATTCCTGAACTGGGGACTGTCCTTTCTCGTCAGCTGAAGGAACTTCACACGTGGAGACCTGGCCCTTTCAACTCCAGGTGGAAACAGTGCAGGAAACCGAGCCCTGGAACATTGCCCTGCTTTATAATTTCCTATTTTGGCAGGATCCTTCACTTACAATAAGTGATTTTCAGCCTTCGAAGGCTTGACCTTTGTGAGGAATTGTTACGAAATATTAATCTCTAAATCCATGACGGTGGGATGTGTTGGCTTTTGAACATGGCAGGGTCCACGTTGATGGAAGATCTTTGAGGCAGCTGGGGTTCAGTCTTAGGTAATGTTAGCAGTTTGCTCCGATTTTTAGCAAAGTTCATTATTTCTGTAAAATGGGGACGATAACCTGTATTGATATGGAGGGTCAAATGAAGACAAGAGTAGCTTCTAGTTGCCTGCCTGGTGGGGAGGCGATGGACCTCAGCCCTGCTATCGTCCCGCCAGAATCCCAGCATCAACAGGCTGGTGTAAAGAAGAGAGTGGTTTCATGACGGGACTCTCACTGGAATCCCTAGGAAAGCCCCTCGCCAAGGCCTTGTGAAAAGAGAGAACATGGTCTAAGTTATAGTTTTATTATGTTTTCTGTAGCAAGATGTTGCGAGGGAATCGGTTGATTTTTCCAGATTTCTCAGTTTTTACTTTAGTTCAGGTTATCTATTAAGGTATGTCCTGTCTCAGACTTCCTGTTCAGTATGGTTGGAAAACACTTGCTTGAAAATTTAGAAACTATCTCTTTAGTGCTGCACCTGTTTTCCAGTTTCTGAAAAAAGTATATAGTATCTTCCTTTCTTTGCCTAAGGCAACAAAAATCGTTCTCCCTCTTCTTTCTCACCTTCATCTTGTTCTTTTCAAACTACAAAGTGACTCTGAGAACCCAAAGAACTTTACACTTCTAGAAGACAGCCCAGGGAAGGGGACGTATTTACTTACGTACCTTCAGTTATTCCATTCGAGAACATGACACACTGACCGGGGCTCTGGGACGGACCCTGCTAAAGTATTTGCGGGGCAGGTTCTCAGTTTGTTCCCGCCCTGGGTCACCACCTTCCTTGAACCCAGCATTGAAGGTGTGTAGGTTTCTCTTGGGGATGGGGCCGTTTTCCTGCCAATCACTTTCACGTTGCCTTCTCTATTAACGTTTACTTTGAAAAATATTTCGTGAGGCAGAATTGCTATTTCCAAACTCGAGACAAAGTCATTAAGAAGAGAAGAAGTGGTGGAGTGGCGTGTAGGTGTTAATTGGTTAAAGACTTAGTTGAAAGTCCAGATCCCCTCGCCCATTCTAGACGTGACTGCAGAGCAAGCGCACTGGGGCCCGGCTCCTGGTACTGAACCATTATCTTTAGACAGAGATTTTTTTTCTTCTTACCAAAACATTCCATTGACCTGGTCAGGGCTTTCTCAGAAAGGCTTTCACTTTTGGGTTCCTCTAGTTCAAAGGATTACTTTTTTTTTTTTTTTTTAAGATTTTATTTATTTATTTGATAGAGATCACAAGTAGGCAGAGACAGGCAGAGAGAGAGAAGGGGAAGCAGGCTCCCAGCTGAGCAGAGAGCCCGATGTGGGGCTCGATCCCAGGACCCCGGGATCATGACCTGAGCTGAAGGCAGAGGCTTTAACCACTGAGCCACCCAGGCACCCCCAAAGGATTACTATTTTAAGAACCGCTTTTTTTTTTAAATGAAGAAAACATTGTATTTTTAAAGTGTACATTAAATTTCTAAAATAGTAGAAACAAGTTCATTTTGAAGACCAAGAGTCAATGTCATGCAGTGTTGATTGTATCAATTTATTCAAATTATGTACATGTTCATACCAGGATGAAAAGAAACGGAAACCTCACCATAAAAGTTGAGCACATTTTTTAAGACAAAAATGAAGTATTTCTCTAGGGTAGATTTATAAAACACGTTATATAGAACAGGATCTTCACCTTTTCTGGTTTTTCTGCTTCCTGAAGGAGTTCATGCAATCGTTAAGCTTCTAACCAAGAGAGAACTTAAGGACTTGGAGACTCAGTGCCCTTATTTTCAGGGGTGTGACTACCCCCAGCCCCCTTGGATATTGCTTAAATGTGGCAAAAGGATTTTTAGCTTTTATAACTAAAATGAAGATCATGGATTTTTTTTTTGTCTGCTCGTGGATTTGTATAATCATCGATGCTGAATGTTGCCGATGTGTGATATAAAAATGGCTCCTGTTCTCCATATTTATTCATGAGCTAGAAATAGTATGTATTATGTAAAGACTATACATTTTTCATAAGCCTTTATATCTCAAGCTCTTTATTTAAGCATTGTTGGAATATGTGGCATAAGCTTTGTTTCATTGTTTAATAAACTGGAATAATACATAACAACCTAAATGATTTGTGTTTATTTTGGATAAATAGAAACCTTTAAACAAAGACAAGCTCCAAAGAGTCCAGAAGGTTGGAGTAGAAATAAATGGCACTTGTGAAAGTGGCTACAGACATTTCTCCTCATGGAGAAGTTGTTGGGGGTCATCTTTTTTTTTTTTTTTTTTTTTAATTTTTAAATTATCTCTACACTCAATGTGGGGCTTGAACTAACAACATGAGATCAAGAGTTTCACTCTCTGTCACGTGAGCCAGCCAGGTACCCCAGGATCACCCTCTTTATTGCCTGAACATCTGTGCGACCTCCCACTATATGAAATCCTGTGTAGCCCAGCAGAGGCCAGTGACTTTGATTCATGGACTGGCTGGGTAAGGTCCCCTGGAGATGCGGAACACCAGGGTGATGGCATGGGTGCCTTGCACCTTCAGGTTCCCTCAGTCCTCCCGGCGTTTGGCGTTGGCTAGAGATGGGCTGGGATGTTTGATTAACTGTGGATCAGGCAAAGGCACCTGTGTTTGGCTTAGAAGAGCCATGGATTGGAATGCAAACCTAGTTCATTAAATTTTTCACCTAAAAATATTCTTGGGGCACCTGGCTGGTGCAGTTGGTGGAGCACGTGTCTCTTGATCTCAGGGTCGTGAGTTCAGGCCGCATGCTGGGCGTAAATCTTACTTAAACAAAAATAAAAATTAAAAAATAAAAAGACCTCTATAAGATTATAAAAAACATAACATGTATTTTTTTCTAGGTGCCTGTCTTACTAACATTTGAATTAAAGATGGTGGTTTATTGAAAAAAAAAAATAGAGCCGGGAAAAATGGGCACTTTTTAGTTCTCTTATCTGAGAGATTAAATGACACACACAATTGACTTCATATGAAGGTTAGCGAGAACCACTGGCTGCTGGTGTTTCTTAAAGGCCTGTGGACAGTAGAACCGTCATGCACATTATGGTACCTGTTAAGACATATTTGGCTTTTAGGGGCACCTGGGTGGATCAGTGGGTTAAAGCCTCTGCCTTTGGCTCGGGTCATGATCCCAGGGTGCTGAGATCGAGCCCCTCGTAGGGCTCTCTGCTCAATGGGGAGCCTGCTTCCCCCTCTCTCTCTCTGCCTGCCTCTCTGCCTACTTATGATCTCTGTCAAATAAATAAATAAAATCTTAAAAAAAAAAAAGACCTATTTGGCTTTTAATCCAGGCTATTTATTTCTAAACTGGCAACTGGGAAAAGAAGACGCTGAATTTTTGGTAGAGTATAACTAGATCCATTCTGAAGCAAAACAGGAATACAAGACAAGTACAGTGTGTATAAATAGGTTTCTTGAAAGCTTGATGCAAATAATAGAATGAAGAGCAGAAAACCTGGGAACTTCTATGTCTGTATGTCCTCTGCATAAATAATAATCCATACAATGGCTTACTGTATTGCTCTTGAGAAGAATGAATTAGATCTCAGCTGGCTGACTTGGAAAGATATCCATGATACATTATTAAGTAGGAAAAACTTAAGGTGCAGGCTCCTGTGTATACCATGAACTCACTTCTTAGGGAGAAAGCAAACTTAGGTTTGTAGGGAATGGATTTAAAGGGTATGTATTAGAGTTCTCCAGAGAAACAGAACCAACAGGGCGTGTGTGTCTATGTATGTGTATATATACATGATTTATTTTAAGAGATAGGCTCATGCAACTGTGGGGGATTGCCAAGTCTGAAATCAGGAGGACAGGCCAGCAGACTGTGGTGATTGTACCATTTTAGTGGCATTTTAGCACAGTCAAGCAGACTGTGGTGATTGTACCATTTTAATGTTCCTACCAGCAGTGCACAAGGGTTCTAATTTCTCCAGATCCTGGCTAACGCTTGTTATTTTTTTGTGTTTTTGAGAGCAGCCATCCTACTGTGTATGAGGTGATATCTTCTTGTGGTTGTGATGTGCATTTCTCGGCTGATTAGTGACATTGAATATCATGGCTTGATGGCCATTTGCATATCCTCTTTGGAGAAATGTTTATTCAGGTCCTTTATTTTTGAATTATGTTGTTTTTTGTTGTTGTGTTTTAGTTCTTTATATATTCTGAATATTGTTCTCTTATCAGATACATGATTTGCAGGTATTTTCTCCCAATCTGTGAGTTGCCTTTTTGCTTTATTGCCAGTGTCTTTTGATACACAAAATTTTTAAATTTTCATGAAATCTAATTTGGCTATTTTTATTGTTACCTGTGCCTTTGCTGTTCTATCTAAGAAATCATTTCTGAATCCAATGTGGTAAAGCTTTTGTACTTTTTTTTTTTTAAATTTTTTGTTTGTTTGTTTATTTATTTGACAGACAGAGATCACAAGTAGGCAGAGAGGCAGGCAGAGGGGCAGGGGGAAGCAGGCTCCCCGCTGACCCTGAGATCATGACCTGAGCCAAAGGCAGAGGCTTTAACCCACTGAGCCACCCAGGTGCCCCTGTACTGTTTCTTTTAAGAGTCTTACTGTTTTAGTCTTTATTGTGTTAGATTTAGGCCGGTGGTTCATTTGAATTAATTTTTTAAATTTTATTATTATTATTCTTGTTAAAATATTTTATTAATTTATTTGACACAGAGAGAGACAGCAAGAGAGGGAACACAAGCACGGGGAGTGGGAGAGGGAGAAGCAGGCTTCCCGCAGAGTAGGGAGCCCAACACCAGGCTCAATCCTAAGGTCCTGGGATCATGACCTGAGCCAAAGGCAGTTGCTTAACCAACTGAGCCACCCAGGTGCCCCTTAAATTTTATTTTTAAGCAATCTGTCCGCCCAGTGTGGAGCTCAGACTTAACCCTGAGATCAAGAGTCGAATGTTCCAGCAACTAAGCCAGGCTGGTGCCCCATTTTCTAGTCTCAATTTCATTGATCTCTGCTGGAGTCTTTATTATTTCCTTCATTTTGCTAGCTTTGAGTTTAGTTCTTTCTTCTTTTTCTAGTTCTCTAAGTTATAAAGTTAGGTTGTTGATCTGAGATTTTTCTTGTTTTTGAATGTGTTTATAGCTATAAATTTCTCCTTTTGCACTGTTTTCACTGCATCCCATATGTTTTGGCAAATTGTATTTTCACTTTCATTTATCTCTAAGTCCTTCCCTTCCCCCATACTCCCTTCCTTTCTACTTTTCTCCCTTCCTCCATCCCTTCTACCTTCCTTCCGTCCTTTTGAGAGAAAGAGAGTGAACGTGTGCACGAGCAGAGGGAGAGGAGCAAAAGAGAGGGGCAGAGGGAGAGAGAGAATCCAAAGTAGGCTCCCTGTCAGCATGGAGCCTGACACGGGGCTTGATCCCGTGACCCTGAGATCATGACCTGAGCCGAAATCATGAGTCAGTTGCTTAACCAACTGAACCCTCATTTGTCTCTAAGTATTTCCAATTTCCTTTCTGATTTCTTTGATCCATTGGTTGCTTGAAAGTGTGTTGTTTAATTTCTATAATTTTGGGGAATTTTTCTGTTTTCCTTTCTTTCTTTCTTTCTTTTAAAAGATTTTATGTAGTCTCTACACTCAACCTGGGGATTGAATTTGCAGCTCTAACATCAAGAGTTACATGCTCCATTGACTAAGGCAGCCAGGCACCCCTTGTTATTGGTTTGTAATTTCATCCTACTGTGGCCACTTATTTTTTTTTAATCTATTGAGACTTAATTTGTGACCTAGCATGGTTTTCCTAGAAAATGTTTCATTGCACTTAAGTAGAATGTGTATTCTGTTGTTGGTTAGAGTGTTCTGTATATGCCTGTTAGATCTAGTGCTTTATTGTGTTATGTCCTTTATTTCCTTATTTATCTTCTGTTTAGTTGTTTTATCTATTATCGTGAGTGGGGTATTGAAATCTCCAACTATTACTGGAGAACTGTCTCTTTCTCCCTTCAGTTCTGTCAGTTTTTGCTTCAAAAATTTTGATGGCTTGTCATTAGGTGTGTAAATGTTTATAATTGTTACATATCGTCTCACTAAATTGAACCTTATATTAATATTCAGTGTTTCTCTTTCTCTCTTGTAAGCTCTTCTGACTTAAGTCTATTTTGTCTGATGTTAGTACAGTTATTCTTGCTCTCTTGGTTACTATTCCTAT